GATTAAAGGAATCCAATGCTCCGCATATTTCCTGAAAAGACCGTTTCAGTGCAGTGTCAGAAAAAATAATATTGACTCACCGACGAGAACGACTGTACTTTGCCCAGTTCACGGGCTGCGGGCTGGAGCGGCAGGGGGGTCAGTGTGATCATCAATCAGTGGCGCCTAAATAACGTGCTATTCTTTGCAGTTGATTAAAAATTATTTCTCCATTTTGAAGAAAACTCCAGATTAAACGACTGACTCTAAAACTGAAAGATTTTCCCAACACGTTCATATGCTTTTCGTGCTTCCAGCGAAGAATAGGTGAATTGCGCTGCCGATGTGAAATATAATTTTATTTTGAATTTTACAACGTATTGAAGGGGTTTTTTCAAAAAACCGGCCATGTGTTGCGCTATCCAGAGATAAAAGCTTTCGAATAATCACTATCACTCTTTTGAAAAGTTTTTGTCCACCGAAAGAAGTCAATTCTTTTTTCTGTGCCTTAACAGAAAGGAACCGAAAACCTTAATTCAATAACGAAAACTGCGGGCGCTTCTCAATCTCGGTGTGGCTGCAATTTAAACGGCTGTCGCAAAGAGTTAACAAGTAAACAATTGGATCTACGCATTTTTCTATTGAAATAAAATGCATCATACTAGGGCGTTGGTCTTTTGAAATGAGAAAGTCTTCGGCATTGGTCATTTCCGAGGCATGCATTCGTCTCCACTGAGCATGATCGAAGAAAACGGAATCCATATTTGGATTCGCTTTGGCTTACCGACGCATCAGTTCAGTGCTTCTGTTCTCCTAGAGAAGTCTGGTACCATTCTGCAGACCCGAAGGAATGGAAAAATTGGTGAGCTTTAGGCATGGAGTCAAACTTTCGACCATGTGTGTATCGCACGGTACCTTCACCCACTACCACTCTTTTTTTAGAGCAGTTCAATAGTGGTCGGAATACCCACTTTGCTATCTCAACCACTGCAAAGCTCTCCCTCGGTTCAAGAAAAATCGCCTTGTCGGTTGCACAGCAGCGATCTACTGCAGCTTTTTCGAGATAGCAGCCGTTCTGGAATAATCCTAGCTTCTCCGCGGTCAGCTTGGGCTGACGACTTACATGTATAGGTGTCGATCCGGACGACCCCACACTTCCGAGGACCCCGTGCAGTACCACGGCTCCCGAAAACTTTCAGCTTGTCCAGAAGTGGAGAAGACGAATCCCGAATCTCAAAAGCCGAACCCTATGCATTCTTCTCATCGGGTCTGTGACCAAAATATCCAAAACAGTGAAGAGAGTTTGAAGTTGTTGTGATTTTAGATCTACACCTATGCGAGTGCATTTTTCATTTATTAATAATTAGTTAAACGACCCGTCACCACAGTTATTTCTTTATTGCCCGGATACCAGTACTGCTAGTATTCAATTCGCTTATTCGCCTTCTTCTTAACGTCGTAGCATACTGGTCGAACATTTCTCCTTGCAATCTCGAGGATAGCCTGATTGTGGCGTTCTATAGTGCGTTATTGTTGACTGTGGAGAGGATCGGGAATCGAACTCGGCTTCACGTGCCGCGACAAGCATCACAACCACTCGGCCACGGCGCTCCAAGTGAGTGCATTGTGCATTACATATGCCTCATAGCGCATCTCGTCGAAATCAGGCGTCAAATCGCGTTGTAAACACACACTTTGGCCGCTACCGTATGCTGGAAAATGGCATTGTTTTCCACTGATTTCCAAGTTCAGAGCTTTTCTGCCTCTTGAAAAATTATCGGTAGTTGTTGGAAATTTCCGCGATCCTCATTGATTTACTTTTCTGTTTCTCCTTTTCTTTCTTATTATTACTTTTCGTATAACTCATTTTTCTCTACTTCCTCCACATGTTCACTTTCTATCGCTGTGATTTCTTTCTTTCTTTCTCTTTCTTCCTACTATCACTTTCTCTTTTCCTTACGTCTCTGTATTCTTTTCTCTTTTCGCTGATCTTTTTTCTTTGTTTCTGTTTCTTTTTTTATCACTGCTTTCTTTATATTTCTCTCGTTGCCATTTCCTTCTATTTCTTGTTTTCCTTTTTTTCTTTTCATTTCTTCACTTTCCCTTTCTTTCTATCATTTCTTTTACTGTTTCCATTTCTTTCTTTCTATCACCGTTTTTCTTTCTTTCTCTTTTCTCTATTCTTTCCAATTATCTCTTCCTGTTCTCTCTAATCATAATTTTTCCTTTCTGCTATCGACATGGCAAAATGTAAAGCGAACTTCAGCTGTCCCTTTGATTTCTTCGAGAATATCGTCTCCGTAAAGAGGGCATGGCTATATATGTAGTTACTCTTGACTCTGTTTGCCGCCGAGAGGAAATTCTCTTTTGATTACATTCGGTGAAATGCCGTGGCCGAGTGGCTGTGATGCTCGTCGTGACGCGTGTGGAGCCGGGCTCCACCCCTCCTCCTTCCCCCAACTCTTTTCGGCGGTCAACGGCAGCGCCCAATGGAACGCCACAGCCACGCTATCTTCGATATTACAAGGACACTCACTCAACCGGTGTTCTACGACATTAAAAAGAAGCGATAGAAACGAAGTAAATGCTAGAAGTACTGAGTTCCACACAGTGGAAAGAACACTATGAAGACGAATCAATAAATTGTAAAAAAGTGTACGTTCGCTAAGAGCGCATGCGGCGCAGTAGTAAGAGGTGTTCTGTGTCGCGCACAAGGTCAATGGTTCGATCCCGCACTCATGGATCATCGAGCCGTCAATCCCTCCGGAGTTCGGTAAAGTGGTAACAACCTGGCCTTAGACTTGTTTGGGTGGTTCAGCAGCACTGACTCGATACGGCGGGAGGCCATGCACGAGTCATTTTGAAAGCCAGATATGCGTTCAATCACCTCTCAAGGGAGGTTAAGGTCTGAAGACGAATGCATGAGGCATCCCTTAGAGGTTGACAAACGCCGAGAGCTTTATTTTTTTTTCTCAACCAGATAAGAAATGAAGTTCTCTAATCTAATCTTCCAATAAATAGTCAATGGCGCTGAGTGATGTGCAAGACTTTTACGCCAGCCAGGACTCGAACCCGCATTTCATTCTATACGAAGACACATGCTTTCACCCGCTGCACCAGTAACGCTTGTTTCGCCACCACACTTTCCACGTTACAAGGCATCAATTTGTCAGCAATCAACCGTCAGCGGTTTCACCTGGCAAGCCATATCAGCACTGATACCATTTACGCGGACAGTATTGGATATATGTGGTCAACAAATTTTCTTATTAACTACTTTTATGCGGTTGCATGATGTTACAAATATAACCAATGATGTTGAGTGATGTGCAAAACTTTGACGTCAGGCGGGACTCGAACTTGCAGTCTTGGTTAACTCAAAATGTTCGGCAGCGATCTCTACAGCCTTTTGGTAACCTCATTCAAACCTCCTTAGACCTTTTATAATCCTTCTTTCCCATTTTTATGAGGCGAACAATGTATTGGTGATCTCAGGAAGCTAGGTCGCCTCGCTAAAGGTTTCTATCAATAAATAATATACGACTGATTGGTATTGCGTAAGTAATAGGATTGTTGGTTCCGAGTTTATCCGTGTTTGATTCCATTGGGGGAGTCGTGGCGGGGTGATTGTGATGCACGTCACGGTACGCGGGAGCCAAGTTCCCTCCCTCGCTCCCAACCCTCTCCGGCAGTCAACTAAAGCGCCTTACGGAACGCTGCAACCAGGCTATCCTTGAGATTGCAGAGAGACTTGTACAACCAGTTTCCTACGGCGTTCGAGAAGAAGACGAAAAAACGAACTGAATGGCAGAAGTATTGGGACCCGCGCAGTGGAAAAAATTACTGTGAAGTGGATCGGTAAGGCTTCTAAGGTCTAAAGTATTTGGTTCCGTTTAGGGTTTCTAAACAAATCTAGGAGATTTTGTCTAAAAAATTTTTAAAAAATAGCATTCATTGCGGTAGTTCTGATGTTTTACATATCACTTGACCGCCGCCAGTTGTGCTACTTTACACTGCCATTACTCGTTGATGGCGAGCAATTAGTGTTATTGAAACTGTTGGCAATCGTTTTGTTTACGGGTGAAGTGGACCCATAGTCGTTCCAGCTGTTCCAATATTCGACTGTAGACACCTAAAATTCAACATTTTTCTATCTGTTTTTGTCTTAAGCGATCCAGAATTCCATCCACTCTTGGGTTCTCAGCACTTTCTTTATTCAATTCTTTGCCGCGCATTCATCCCCCACGAAGGCCGCTGAACATTTTGCGTGTGGCTTCGACTGCTACTTCAGATATCATCTTCTTTATAGATGCGTATAAGGCCGATCGAGACGATTCTTCTTGCAATCTTGGAGATAGCCAAGCTAAAGCGTTCCTTAAGGCCTTCGTTGATTGATTGCGAGAGAGTGTTGGTTGGGTGAGGCGATTGAACCATCGCATCACTTATCACCTTGCTTTCTGATACACTGCGCTACTTCACCCTTCAAAATATTCTTATTCTTCCGTTTTTCCCGAGATCGCTTTCTTGAAGGAATTTCTGCTTTATATGATAAGTTAGTCTTTATTTCCAGTGCTTTATTAGGACCACGCTCAAATTTTAATAGATCCTTTCATTATTATCTGAGCCATTTTGTCATGTGGTTTGGTAAGGGATCTTGTACAGCCCGATACACGTGTTTCGTCTTTACAGACTCGTCAGTCGGGCAGAACCCGTCGTCTTTCGATATTTTTATAGTCAGTTCTCTCGGGAGCTCTGCTCCCTTACAAAAAGTCATCGAGGACGAACATCTAACATTCGATGTTAAGTGAAATTTTCACCTAACAAAGTGTGTTGCGCACTCGGTAATAAGTTGGGTTTTTTGGATATTTAAGGCGATTCCAGCCTTTACCTTTCAGTGTGCTGTATCTCAACTGAGAAGAAACTTATCAGTTGTACTGAAGACCTTTGCAATCTATGCATCTTGCCAGTGAGGAGCGACCAGATTATGACATCTGAAGGAGTTGAGTGATATGCAAAACATTCGACCCTAGGCGGGAGTTGAACCCGCGTCCCACCCTTACTACGGGCACGTGCTGCCTCTACACAAGGCCGAGGCTGCCAATCTTTCTTCTTCTTTTCTATGATTTATCAGTCGCATAAGTTCTAGATCTTTGTGGGTAATTAAATCGCTGAAGACGGTTTCGGTCGCGGCTTGCATTTCGAAGCACTTGCAGCGCAAGGAGTTTTCAAGACTTTTGAAGAAAAACTGATAGTCGGTAAGCGAAAAAAAAAGTCTCGTAATTGAGTTTGTACAACGTTTACAGCGTTGGTTATGCGAAGTGTGTCCATACGTCTGTCCCATGACGTGCTGGCAACTTGTATGACAACCATTTTTTGAGCAGCATCGTCTTTGCATTGTTCTCCAGATGATAGAAGCGATTGAGGAGCTTACAGTTAGGTCCTCCTGCAGGTTCTCGAACAGTTTTGCATGTATTCCCTTCCGTTCAGCAAAGTTTTCAGTTCTTTTTTCTTTCTCGACCGGTCATCACATTCTACTATCGGGATCTTAGCGCTCCTTGGATTCCTTTCGTTTCTTCGCATTCAACCACCGCTAGGGTCTTCGAATAATGGATGAGATGCTTCGGCTTTTGCTCAAGAGTTTTGCCTTCCTAAGTGTCGTCAAGTGTTTTCCAGAAGATACTTTTTGCAGTCCGGAGATAGCCGAGCTAATATGTTCTCTGAGGCGTTCAGTTGATCGACTGCATGTGAGTGGTGGGAAGGGGATCGAATCGGCGCCTTGCTTATCACCTTGATTCCCGGTACAGTGCATTACTAAGCCCTGTGCTATTTCACATCAGCTACTAAGTAAACACTGATATTAATGCGCATGATCAGCGCTCTCTGATTATTTGGTCACTGAAGGGTTCAAGGCGATTCAGCATGTTCTTAGTAAGATGCCTTCACTCAGTTGAGTTAGCAGCAGCCCTTCATGCTTTGAGCTGCCAGGAAAAACCGTCGACAGTTACTCGTTTTTCTGTTGTAATTGGTTCATTTGATTGTTCAACTTCCTCATTATTATCATTATTATTATTTTTTTTTCTTCGTAATTCACTCCATATTCCTTTCATTTCCTGCTGTCCACTTCAAGCCTCAAGCTCCAGATCGTGTTTGCGAACCGGAGCCCGTCCGAACTTTTCCTGAGCAAAAGTGCAAATCACGCGCTGGTATCAGGTGTGGCTAGAAGTGCTTCCAATCAACAGTGATAGTAACCCTTGTCGTTTTTCGATCAAGTGAACAAAGATACTCCTATTTTCTTCAAATTAGCTGTCAAAGAAGGCTATCTGCATGATTGGAATCTCCTTATTTTATCCAAAATGAAGCTCTACAATGTGGACGATCGATTGTGGTCCGATCCATTGACTTAGGAGAAGAGGGCTCAAGGAGTTTTAAGTGCTTTGAAAAGCAATTCTAAAGGGCCGTATGTCTCGAAAGTTGTATAACTTTCAAGGTGCAGTGGATTCTGTCTCTTCCGATTCATTTTGGTTTCCAGTTTATAAAATGAGAGCAAAATATAGTAAGTTGAGAACGATGAGTTAAGTCGGTTCTCCTCGATCGTTGGCTCGTTTTGTAGATCACAGCGCTGGTATCAGGTGTGGCTAGAAGTGCTTCGAATCAAAAGTGATAATAACCCTTGTCGTCTTTGTTGTCGCTCGAGTCGAATCCTCTTCGATAGGACACTGCTCGAGTGAAGAAGCCTCATTCAACGGTAACCCTATATACAAGATGCTTGTAGTTGTTGCTAATCTCCCCTTGCTGATATATTTAGTTAAGGGGAAATGAGGTACCGTAGCCGAATGGTTGTGATGCTCGTAGCGGTGAGCGTGGAGCCAAATCACCTCACAGGGTACCCAACACCTCTGGGCAGTCAACAACGATCTTCCCATGGAACGCCACAGTCCGTCTGTCATCGAGCTTGCAAGGAGGTGCGCACAACCAGTATTCTACGGCGTTCAAGAACGACATAAAAAACGATTGGGCGCTAGAAGTACTGAGACCTGCACACTGAAAAAAGAAAGTCAGTTTCCAAAGAATCATTAGCAGCCTTAACCAAATACACTCAGCTTGTACTCCTAAGAGAATTGAGTGGTGAGCAAAAACACAACCTCAGGCGGGAATCGAACCGTTTCATTCTATCCGGGGACGCGCGCTCTACCACTACACCACTGAGGCACATTTGCCCGACCACTCATTCTTCAACATCTCAGTGTTAGCTATCAGCCACCAACCTTCGACAGGTTTGGTGGGGTATGCGATTTTGCTTCATAAACCCAGTTGAGCTGACAACTTAGCTGATCTTGTACTTTCCGTTAGTAATACAGCTTCATCCATCATCAAGTCTGAATCATCGATTTCTCTTCCAACTTACATCAAATGCAGGCCTTTAATCCACTTCATTATGTCCAATTAGTATGAATAGTGAATGAATTGAATGAGAATGAGTGGTGGGGAAGGGTAACCTCGGTGGTGTAGTGGTAGTACGCGCTTCCGGTATGGGTGAAACTCGGATTCAATTCCCGCCTATGGTCCGATTTCGCTTACCGCTCAAGTCTCTTAGGTATATTTGAGACATCCACAACGCTGCGAAAAGGCAATAGAAACATAAGAAATCTTCCATTTATTCAAGTACAGTGGCCATCAGCTTAATTGGGTTTCTGGATCGATATTGCGTACCCGACCAAACCTCTTGAAGGTTGTTAGCTGATAGTTATGATAGAGAGATATTGGAGATGGAGTGGTGGACGAACGGTGGCTTTGGTGATGTAGTGATAGTGATAGCACGCGACCCCACTAGGGCTGAAATGCGGGTTCAATTTCTGTTTGAGGTAGGATTTTTGCTTCCCATTCAATTCTCTTAGGTATATTTGAATCATCATAACACTACGAAAAGGCAGTGAAAACGTAAGAAATCGTGAACGAATGAGGTTTTTTTCCAAATTACAACATCATACGGCTACGCTCCTGTTGTAAATCATCTCACTCTCTCTATTTTATCGTACTTTGGTGGTCTAATCGATCAAATCACTGCTAAGTTTGTCCCAAAAAAACGTGTCACGAGCAGTTGAAGGAGAGAGAGAGAGAGAGAGAGAAAGTAGCAAACTCAGATCTTCATGCTACAGTAGGAGGCGTTAGTATTTGTTTTTTAGTTGCTTACTATACAAGTATTCCTAATTTTGCGCGACCCGTCATCCCACGCACTCTATAGATTCCAACACTTCTTCTATTCATTTTTTTCCTCGCATTCATCTTCTAGAGAAGTCTGCGGATTTTCACGTATTTTTCCGGCTACCCGAGCATTTCGTCTCCTGTATGGATCTCGTAGAATACTGGTCGTGACGATTTTCCTTGCAATCGTGGAGGTAGCTGAGCTAACACGTTTGATGATTGATTGCGAAAGTGTGATGGGAGAGGGGATAGAACCAAGGTATTGCTTATCGCTTTGCTTCCTGATACACCGTGTCACTAACCACTGCGCAACACGCCTTCTATTCTGCAAGTAATAGTCAAGCATTATATGTTCAGATACTATGTGGATGAAGTACTGTGAGTAATCATTTTGATGTGTAAATCCTTCTGGCAATTATAGTGGTTCATCCCTGTTCTGTAAGAGTTTGTGATTCTATGCAACGATCATAGCGATTCTAAGATTGTGGATTTTCTCAGCATTCTATCTGTGTTTCTCCTTTTTTCACTCTGATTTTCAACACTGGCTCTTTCTTCTGAGGGCCATAAAGTGGGTATTATGCAAAGGTGTTTTTGAGGAACATAACAGAGCGATTTTAGGAGGGTTAGAGGTACTTAGCCAGTGTGACCCGACGACTTATACGCTGCTCGGTAAGCACTTAATAGCAGCGTTGACTACTCAGTAACAAGAATCTTCATGAGTTATAAGGCAGCTTTTGTTTTGGAAATGTTCTTCTGACATAATTCAGTCAACTGGCAATTTGATGGATTACTGTAATTAGATGATTCGATCTAATATTTTCAGTGAGCACTTAATAGCACCGTTCACTGCGCAGTAAGAATACTGTAGCTTACTTTCGTGGGTTATGAAGAAGTTTTCATTTAGAAATGTTCCTCGAGACCATTACTTTCATTGGCGATTCTATAGCGTTTGGTGGTACTTAGCAAATTCGAATCAACTTCTACCCTTTCCAAGGAGCACTCAAATAACAGGTTGATTGCAGCGTAGCAAGAATGAAGATTACCATCATATTAAAGTTCTTTCCACTTTCATATGGACCCCACTGCTTGTGTTTGCGTGTAAAAGCACCACTGTTTTGCGCACAACAAAACATTTATTGCTTCACTTTAACTCATTCACCTTTAGTCATTGTTGTGAACGCGGTATTTGCCCTTGACTTTTGCTCAATAACGGAGGCATCGGATTATCCCAGCCTGGCTTCAAGAGATTGCAATAAAACGTGCTCGGCCAGTATTCTACGATGTTCGTGAAGAAGATGAAATTCTCAAGCTAGCGAGGAGACGAATCGAATTCCAGAAGTACTGGTAGCAGCACAGTGGAAGAAAAATGTGATACGGGTAAAACAAAAACGATGAAGTGATATGAATGTCCATCTTCACCACTTCCAGTGCATACTGATGTCTGTCTGAAAATCAGCTGACCCTCCACTAGTGATGGGTTATTTTGTGTAGCTTGTTAATTTTAGATTACTGTGTACCTCTCAACTGGTTTAGCGCCTCATGGCGGCTGGAATGTGTCCCTGTGTGTCGGAGTGCGAAGTATAGCAGGGGTTTAATTTCCCTTCCTTTCCCAGCAAGGCCACCCAAGTTGAGGAGCCGGACGTTCCCGCTCAGAAAGCACAGCTTAGAGTAAACCGTATCAGGAATGACTGCCGTCTTGCTGAATGTTACTCATAAGGTGGTAATCTCCCTCTGATCCACAAGGGTCAGCGGCTGCTCTAATGTGGCAAGACCTGGGGAAGCCCCGGCTAACTTACCTCGAGACCTCAGGCGAGAATACAGCTAAAGGAATACAGTTCTGCTGTGCTGAGGTGCGCATCATCAGTGAAAAAGTGCCGTTCAAGCATCA